TTCCTGGCTCTCAAGTCCCTTTCAAATCTGCTTGGGAGGGCTGCCCTGCTCTCCCCAGAAAAGCTTCAATTATGTAAGCAATAAATCTTTTCACACCCTCTTGGTATGTGTGTGGCATCATCAGTCTGACATCCAAACCAATTTTCAGGTGGGCATCCATTCTTTTTCTTCAGGATGGTCACAACACAGGCAGAGGGAGATTTGAACAGAAGGCAACATAATGGCTAAAGCAAGATGCTATGCTGCTGACTTTGAAGATGGAGGGATTATGAGCCAAGGAATGTAAGAAATTCAGCTTCAGATGCTAGAAAAGGCAAGGAAACAGACTGTCCCCTAGAGTCTCTGGAAAGAGTGGGCCCTGCTGATAGCTTGATTTCTGCCCAGTGAAACTCATTTCAGACTTCTGACCTACAGAACTAAAGAAGAATAAATGCCTGTTGTTTCAAGCAACCAAATTTGTGGTAGTTTGTAACAGCAGCCCTAGGAAACTAATACAGTGTGTCAGACTACTAGTGCCTTAGTACAAATTGAAGCAGTGCCACAAAATAGTACTAGTAGGCATTGTGTTTGTTACCACCATATGCTGTTTTATTAAAAACGTCAGTGCACTTGTCTTACATGGAACAGTGAAAAGTATTGATGTTATAAATATTGACCCTTGAGAATACAGTTTTTAAATATTTTGTATGACAAATGGAAAATATGCATAAAGCACTTCTGCTACATCTTGAAGTATAATCACTGCCTCAAAGAGAAACACTTGTGCAATTTAAAAGCAACTCTTCATGAAACACCATTTGTAGCTAAAAGAATTACTGACAGACAAACTTTCGTTATTCAGACTTGGGTTTTGGGCAGATGTTTCTCTAAAATTAACAAAGTGAGGCTGTCACTTCAAGGAAAACAACTGACAGCATTATTTGTCAATTACAAATTCAAGTTTTTGGGTAAAAATTAGAGTTTTAGAAAACTTGTAGTAGTAGTTCAGAGTCTGATAACTAGGCTTGTTCTCTCCTTTTGAATCAAAGGCCACTGCTGCAAACATGCTCTACCAGATCCTCAATCAAGCCAAGAAGTATCTGAGCATGATTCTCCTCTTTGAGTTTATTGGAGATGGAGGTACTAGAGCAGCACTGTATGTCTTGCATCCAGCATTGTTCAATCCAGATGTTACTTGGAACAGAAAGAATAACCCAGAGCCCTGGAACAAACTGGGTCCCAATGATCAATACAAGTTCTACTCAGTTAATGTGGATTACAGTAAACCAAAGAAAGAAGGTCTTGTAAAACTGCTTTAGAATGAAGGTCCTCCAGAAGCCATCTCCAATTTTCCACTTAACTAGGAAGTTTTTATCCTCCAAAAGCATGAAATCATGTTGATGTGTTGTGTAGGAGGTTACTCTCATTAATAAATATTTGAAACTTACAAAAAAAGGAAAGAAAACTTGTGTCTGCAACCATAAGCTGCACAGCTTTCTGAAACATAAATACTTTCCTGATAAGATCAATGGTGATAGTAACAAATGTGATATTTTTAATATTGTATCATGAAATATGTCAATATTTGGAAAGGTCTGCATAACTCAGTGAAGCAATATTTTTAAAATAATCAATGCATGATGCTACAAAATCATGCACAGGTAAAAATTCCATTCCAGGTGAGGATAGGCAAATGGATTTTTCATGTATAAAAACACAAGCAGTTCAATGATACAGTTTCAGTTTGCATTTTGGAACTAACCTCCAAGAAACTTCCAAATGTCCAATTTTAGTATAATATCAAAAACCATCCACAGTTATCTGCATAGACTACTTTAAAACTCCTGCCTTTTCCAACTACATATATGTGTGAGATAGGACTTTCTATATTTCACCCAAAACAATGTATCACAGAAGAGTGAATGCAGAAACAAATAAGAGAATCCAGCTCTTTTCTACTAAGACAGAAATCAAAGAGATTTGCAAAAAATAAAAGCCCATGTTACTTTTCTCACTAAATGTTTTTGTTTTGAAAAATATAGTTATTTTCATAAAATAATTTGTGCTAACATGTAATTGATGTATTATCACTTTTAAATGAATACATAATTAAATATTTTTTATTTCCATTTTAATTTCTAACACAGTAAATAATAATATATTTTACTCAGATAAACAAAGGTTCTTTGGGGTCCTCAATAATTTTTAAGAGTAAAATTAAAGAGTTGGAGAACTACTGCTCTAGAAAAACTCAGGCCCGGGCACAGTGGCTCACACCTATAATCCCAACAATTTGGGAGGCGAAGGCTGGCAGATCACTTAAAGTCAGGAGTTTGAGACCAGCCTGGCCAACATGACGATACCCCGTCTCTACTAAAAATACAAAAATTAGCCAGGCATGGTGTCACCCACTTGTAATTCCAGCTACTCAGGAGGCTGAGGCAGTAGGATCACTTGTGCTCAGGAGGCAGAGGTTGCAGTGAGCCAAGATCATGCGCTACTGCACTCCAGCCTGGGTGACAGAGCGAGACTCTGTCTCAAACAAAAAAAAAAGAAAGAAAAACTCATATGCTCAGGAAAACATGTTTGTGGCAGCTTTGTTTGAAACAATGAAAAGATGAAAACAATGTAAATATTCAAGAAGAGGTGAATGAATAGGTAAAATGTATGTATTCATAAAAGGTAATAATATGTACTGTTGAAAGAAGACTTACAAGTATTAACATGGGCGAATCTGACAAACATAATGGTGAGGAAGTTGTCAAATTCTCTGTAAAGAATGATAGATTTATATACGTTTTTAAACTTTTATATAAAGTCAAAAGATACTCATTAATGATACTAGATTTTTGTCTATGTATATATATATGTAGTAAAATTAAATACATGAAAATGAATGAGAAGAATGTCCACCAACTTCAGGATATGGTTCTTCTGAGAATGAAGAGAATGATTAGGAAGAAGTTAGACTTGACCTCTATCTATATTTTATTTATTTAATAAATAAAATGATTCAAAGCAAGTATCATAAATTATTAACATATGTGAATTCAGGATGATAGGTACATGGAACCCTCTTTTATTAAATTCTCTTCCATGTATGTTTTGACAGTGCTGCCCTCTCTCAGTTCATATATCACGGTCATGAGGTCTCCAGAGAGAAGAGTGAGAATTCCACAAAACAGAGTGGGTTTCAGTGGCAGTCTCACCTCTTCACCATCTTTCAGAAGATTGCCATAAATTGTTGTTTATCTGCAACTCATAAGAGGATTTAAAATTATACTATCTAGTTTTAAATAAAACTGTCCTTAAAACATGGATAAAGAGCTTGAATAGATTCTTGCAAAGAAACTAATTGAAAATAATTATGCAAATGGAAAGCTGGATAAAGAGCCAAGACCCATCAGTATGCTGTCTTTAAGAGACCCATCTCACATGTAAAGACACACATGGGCTCAAAATAAAGGGATAGAGGAAAATTTCCCAAGCAAATGGAAAACAGAAATAAGCAGGAGTTGCAATCCTAGTTTCTGACAAAATAGAATTTAAATCAACAAAGATCAAAAAAGACAAAGAAGGCCAGCCACACAACTCACGCCTGTAATCTCAGCACTTTGGGAGGCCAAGGCAGGCGGATCACCTGAGGCCAGGAGTTCGAGACCAGCCTAACCAACAAGGAAAAACCCTGTCTCTACTAAAAATACAAAATTAGCCAGGTGTGGTGGCACATGCCTGTAATCCCCATTACTCAGGAGGCTGAGGTAAGAGAATCGCTTGAACCCGGGAGGCGGAGGTTGCAGTAAGCTGAGATCATGCCATTGTACTCCAGCCTGGGCAACAAGAGTGAAACTCCATCTCAAAAAAAAACAAAAAAGACAAAGAAGGGTATTACATAATGGTAAAGGGTTCAATTCAACAAGAAGACATAACTGTCATAAACATAAATTCACCCAATCCAGGAGCACTCAGACTCATAAAGCAAGTTCTTAGAGACCTACAAAGAGACTCAGACTCCCACACAATCATAGTAGGAGACTTCACACCCCACTGTCAATATTAGACACATCATCAAGACACAAAATTAACATAAAGATATTCAGGACCTGATCTCAGCTCTGGATCAAGTAGACCTGATAGATATCTACAGAACTCTCCACCCAAAATGACAAAATATACATTCTTCTCATCACCACATGGCACTTACTCTGAAACTGATCACATAATTGAAAGTAAAACATTACTCAGCAAATGTAAAAAAAAAAACTGAAATCATAAGAAACAGTCTTTCAGACCACACCACAATCAAACTAGAAGTCAAGATTAAGAAATTCACTAAAAATCACACAACCACATGGAAATTGAATTACTTGCTCTTGAATGACTCTTGGGTAAGTAATGAAATTAAGACAGAAATCAAGAAGTTATTTGAAACTAATGAGAACAAAATGACAATGTACCAGAATCTCTGGGAAACAACTAATTCAATATTAAGAGGGAAATTTACAGCAGTAAATGCTTACATCAAAAATCTAGACAGATCTCAAGTTAAGAACTTAACATCTTAACTAAAAGAGCTAGAGAACCAAGAGCAACAAACCCCAAAGCTAGCAGAGACAAAAAAATAACCAAGATCAGAGCAGAACTAAAGAAGATAGAGACATGAAAAACCCTTCAAAAAACCAACACATCTAGGAGTTTTTTTTTTTTTTTGAAAAAATTAATAGCGCTCTGCCATCTCCGCAGCATCTTCCACCCGCACCGCCGCCGCAGCTCCCCACACTCACACCACTGCTGCCATATCCACCCTCAGCGCCACCACCATAAGGGAGATCGTGCACCTGCAGGCTGGCCAGTGTGGCAACCAGATCCGGGCCAAGTTTTGGGAGGTTATCAGTGATGAACATGGCATCAACCCCACAGGCACATACTATGGGGACAGTGACCTGCAACTGGAGAGGATCAACGTATACTACAATGAGGCCAGAGGAGGAAATTATGTTCCCAGAGCAGTGCTGGTGGACCTGGAACCCGGCACCATGGACTCTGTCCTTTCCTGCCCCTTCGGTCAGATCTTTCAGCCAGACAACTTCACGTTTGGCCAATCTGGAGCTGGCAACAACTGGGCAAAGGGGCACTACATGGAGTGCATGGAGCTGGTGAACGCTGTCCTGGATGTGGTCCAGAAGGAGGCCAAGAGCTGTGACTGCCTTCAAGGCTTCCAGCTGACCCACTCGCTGGGGGGTGGCATGGGGTCTGGGATGGGCACGCTGCTCATCAGTAAGATCTGCAAGGAGTTCCCAGACCACATTATGAACACTTCAGCGTGGTGCTCTCACCCAAAGTGTCAGACATGGTGGTGGAGCCCTACAATGCCACGCTGGCTGTCCATGCACCAGCTGGTGGAGAATATGGGTGAGATCTACTGCATCAACAATGAGGCACTCCATGACATCTGCTTCTGCACCCTCAAGCTGACCACCCCCACCTACAAGGACCTCAACCACCTGGTGTCGGCCACCACGAGCAGAGTCACCACCTGCCTGTGCTTCCCGGGCCAGCTGAACACCAGCCTGCACAAGCTGGCCATCAACATGGTCCCCTTTCCTCACCTGCACTTCTTCATGCCCGGCTTCACACCCCTGACCAGCCGGGGCAGCCAGCAGTACCGGGCCCTGACAGTGCCTGAACTCACCCAGCAGATGTTCGACACCAAGAACATGATGGCCATGTGCAACCCGCACCACAACTACTACCTGACTGTGGCTGTCGTGTTCCGGGGCCGCGTGTCCATGAAGGTGGACAAGCAGATGCTGAGTGTGCAGAGCAAGAACAGCAGCTACTTCGTGGAGTGGATCCCCAACAACTTGAAGACAGCCGTGTGCAACATCCCGCCCGTGGCCTGAAGATGGCTGCGAACTTCATCGGCAGTAGCATGGCCTTCCAGGAGCTGTTTAGCAGTTCAAAGCCATGTTCTGGCCCAAGGCGTTCCTGCACTGGTACACAGGCGAGGGCATGGATGAGATGGAGTTCACTGAGGCTGAGAGCAACATGAATGACCTGGTATCTGAGTACCAGCAGTACCAGGACACCATAGCCGAGGAGGGCAAGTTCGAGGAGGGGGCCGAGGAGAAGGTGGCCTAGGTTGCTCCCATCGCTTCCCATCTGTCCCCTCGAGGCTTCTGACCTTTGATCCCTTAGGACCCTCCATCTCTGACCCCTAGAGCCCTGCTTTCCCTCCAAGCCTGACTCACCCCTGACCCTAAGACTTTGCCCTGACCCTAACAATACCTTTGGAGCTCGCTTTACCTCTGGCTACTTCATCTCCGACCCTGACTCCCCTTTGATCCTTGAGCCCTAATTTATCTTTGACTCCCTTGAGCTCTTCCAACCTTGACATTCCCAGGAGGAGCCCCGCTTCACCCCTTCTGACTCCAGAAACCGCTCCTTTAACTTTATGGGCCCTCCTTCACCCGGACCTCTGCTTCACCTTTGACCTCTGCCCCCCACGAATCCCATTTTACGTCTAGACCTATAAGTCCTGGTTTACGTTTGACCCCTCCCTCTGAGCTGCCCTTCACCTCTGACCTTGCCTCACCTTTAACTCCCCACCTGAGCCCCAACTCCTACCTCTGACCCCAACTTCTCTTTCACCCATGAATCCCCTCTGATCCCAACTTCTCTTTCACCCCCTATGAACCCCATTTTACCTCTACACCTGTAAGTCCTGGTTTACATTGGACCCTTCCCTCCAAGCTGCAGTTCACCTTTGACCTTGCCTCACCTTTCACCCCCACACAGCCCCAGCTCCTACCTCTGACTCCAGCTTCTCTCTGGTTCCCACAGACCCCATGCATCCTCCCTGCCTCACTCCCCTCAGCCCCTGATGACCTTAGCTTATCTGGGAGAGAAACAAGGCCTAGTGCCTGTGAGGAAGAGAGGTTGCCCCTGCCCTCCCTACCTGCTTCCCTGCCTCACCCTAAATAAATAAATTAATTGTTAAAAAAAAGAAAAGAAAACTTAATAAAATAGATAGACCACTAGCTAGACTAATAAAGAAGAAAGAGAAGAATCAAATAAACACAATTAGAAATGATAAGGGGGTTATCATCCTGACCCCACAGAAATATAAACAATCATCAGAGAAAACTATAAACACCTCTATGAACATAAACTAGAAAATCTAGAAGAAATGGATAAATTTCTGCAGAGATACATACTCCCAAGACTGAACCAGCAAGAAACTGAATCCCTGAATAGACCAATAATGAGTTCTGAAATTGAGGCAGTAATAAATAGCCTACCAACCGAAAAAAAAAAAGGCCCAGGACCAAATAGATTCACAGCTGAATTATAACAGAAGGGCAAAGAAGAGCCAGTATCATTGCTATTGAAAATATTCCAAAGGATTGAAAAGCAGGGACTCCTCCATAACTCATTTTATGAGGCCAGCATCATCCTGATACCAAAACCTGTCAGAGATACAATAAAAAAAGAAATTTCAGGCCAATATCCTTGATTAACATCAATGCAAAAATCCTCAACTAAATACTGGCAAACTGAATACAGCAGCACATCAAAAAGCTTATTCACCATAATCAAGTAGGCTTCATCCCCTAGAGGCAAGGTTGGCCCAACATATGCAAATCAATAAGTGTGATTCATCACATAAACAGAACTAAAGACAAAAAACTCATGATTATCTCAATAGATGTGGAAAGGCCTTCAATAGAAATCAATATTCCTTCATGTTAAAAACTCTCAATAAATTAGCTACCGGAGGAACAGACATCAAAATGATAAGACCCATCTATGACAAACCCACAGCCAATATCATACTGAATGGGCCAAAACTGGAAGCATTCCTCTTGAGAACTGGCACAAGACAAGGATGCACTCTCTCTCCACTCCTATTCAACATAGTATTGAAAGTTCTGGCCAGGGCAATGAGGCAAGAGAAAGAAATAAGAGGTATTCAAATAGGAAGAGAGGAAATCAAACTATCTTTGTTTGCAGATGACATGATCCTATAGTTAGAAGACCCCATCATCTCAACCCAAAAGCTTCTTAAGCTGATAAACAACTACAGCAAAGTCTCGGGATACAAAATCAATGTGCAAAAATCACTAGCAGTCCCGTACACCAACAACAGGCAGGCAGAGACCCAAATCAGGAATGAACTCCCATTCACAATTGCCACAAAAAGAATAAAATACCTAGGAATGCAGCTAACTAGGGAGGTGAAAGATCTCTACAAAGAGAATTTACAAACCACTGCTCAAGGAATTCAGAGAGGACACAAACAAATGGAAAAACATTTCATGCTTATGGATAGGAAGAATCAATCAATATCACAAAAATGGCCATACTGCCCGAAGTAATTTTTAGATTCAATGCAATTCCCATGAAGCTACCAGTGACTCTTTGCAGAATTAGAAAAAAGAAAAAACTACTTAAAATTTCATGTGGAACCAAGAAGAGCCAGTAAAGCCAAGACAGTCCTAAGCAAAAAGAATAAACCTGGAGGCATCACACTACCTGACTTCAAACAATACTACAAGGCTACGGGAAACAAAACACCATGGTAGTGGTACAAAAACAGACACATAGACCAATGGAACAGAATAGAGAACTCAAACACTAAGACCACACACCTACAACCATCTGATCTTTGACAAATCTGACAAGAACAAGCAGTGAGGAAAGGATTCCCTATTTAATAAATAGTGCTGGGAGAACTAGCTAGCAATATGCAGAAAACTGAAACTGGACCCCTTATTTATACCTTATACAAAAATTAACTCAAGATGGATTAAAGACTTCAATGTAAAATCCAAAACTATAAACACCCTAGAAGAAAAGTATATCATCCATTTTGCAACATACAAAAATTAATAAATGTAGGCATTGACTATCAACAACTGCTAACATCACAGAAAAAAGAGACTACAAGACATAACCCACATTCTGATAGAAGAACAAAATGCCTCCAATAAAGTATTCTTGTTAAACAGAGAGAAAGTGGGACAGAAGGAGAGGAGGAAAGAAGAAGGAAGAAGAGGAGGAGGAACAGTGACGATGGCAACAATGACAAAAGAACACGTTAAATTAATCATATGTGGGAAAATCCAAGCTATGGGAAGCTCTTCAGGACAAATGACCTAGTTTCTGCAACAAATAAATAATTTCAAAAAAAGAAAGATAACCTATAAATTAAAATACTTAAACACTATCAATTAATTATAATGCAGACCTTATTTAGATGCTAACTCAAAGAAACTTTTAAAAATTAGGTACTCAAGGATATCCCTGAAGAACATTAATGTGAAAATCCTCAATAAAATCTGGCAAACCGAATCCAGAAGCACATCAAAAAGCTTATCCACCGTGATCAAGTCGGCTTCATCCCAGGGATGCAAGGCTTGTTCAACATATGCAAATCAATAAATGTAATCCATCACATAAACAGAACCAATGACAAAAAACACATGATTATCTCAATAGATGCAGAAAAGGCCTTCAATAAAATTCAACATCCTTTCATGCTAAAAACTCTCAATAAACTAGGTATTGATAGAATGTATCTCAAAATAATAACAGCTATTTATGACAAACCACAGCCAATATTATACTGAATGGGAAAAAACTGGAAGCATTCCCTTTGAAAACTGGCACAACAGAAGGATGCCCTCTCTCACCAATCCTATTCAACATAGTATTAGAAGTTCTGACCAGGGCAATCAGCCAAGAGAAAGAATAAAGGGTATTGAAATAGGAAGAGAGGAAGTAAAATTGTCTCTGTTTGCAGATGACATGATTGTATATTTAGAAAACCCCGTTGTCTCAGCCCAAAATCTCCTTAAGCTGATAAGTAACCTCAGCAAAGTCTCAGGATACAAAATCAATGTGCAAAAATCACAAGCATTCCCATACACCAATAATAGACAGAGAGCCGAATCATGAGCAAACTCCCGTTCACAGTTGCTACAGAGAGAAAAAAATACCTAGCAATACAACTTACAAGGGATGTAAAGGACCTTTTCAAGGAGAACTACAAACTACTGCTCAAGGAAATAAGAGAGGACACAAACAAATGGAAAAACATTCCATGCTCATGGATAGGAAGAATCAATATCGTGAAAATGGCCATACTGTCCAAAGTAATTTTTAGATTCAATGCTATCCCATCAAGCTACCAATGACTTTCTTCACAGAGTTAGAGAAAACTACTTTAAATTTCATAGGAACGAAAAAAGAGCCCATATACCCAAGACAATCTAAGCAAAAAGAACAAAGCTTGAGGCATCATGCTATCTGACTTCAAACTATACTACAAGGCTACAGTAACCAAAACAGCATAGTACTGGTACCAAAACAGATATACAGACCAATGGAACAGAACAGAGGCCTCAAAAATAACACCACACATCTACAACCATCTGATCTTCTACAAACCTGACAAAAACAAGCAATGGGAAAAGGATTCCCTATTTAATAAATGGTGGTGGGAAAACTGGTTAGCCATATGCAGAAAACAGAAACTGGGCCCCTTCCTTACACCTTACACAAAAATTAACTCAAGATGGATTAAAGACTTAAATATAACACCTAAAACCATAAAAATCCTAGAAGAAAAGCTAGGCAATACCATTCAGGACATAGGCATGGGCAAAGACTTCATGACTAAAACACCAAAAGCAATTGGAACAAAAGCCAAAATTGACAAATCGCATCTAATTAAACTAAAGAGCTTCTGCACAGCAAAAGCATCATCAGAGTGAACAGGCAACCTACAGAATGGGAGAAAATTTTTGCAATATATCCATCTGACAAAGAGTTAATATCCAGAATCTACAGAGGACTTAAACAAATTTACAAGAATAAAACAACCCCATCAAAAAGTTGGCAAAGGATATGAATTGACACTTCTCAAAAGAAGACATTTATGCAGTCAACAAACATGAAAAAAATGCTCATCATCACTGTCGTTAGAGAAATGAAAATCAAAACCACAATGAGATACCATCTCACGCCAGTTAGAATGGCGATCATTTAAAAATCAGGAAACAACAGATGCTGGAGAGGATGTGGAGAAATAGGAACAGTTTTACACTGTTGAAAATCGGTTCAACCATTGTGGAAGACAGTGTGGCAATTCCTCATGGATCTAGAACCAGAAATACCATTTGACCCAGCAATCCCATTACTAGGTATATACCAAAGGATTATAAATCATTCTACTATAAAGACACATGAACATGTATGTTTATTGCAGCACTGTTCACTATAGCAAAGATGTGGAACCAACCCAAATGCTCATCAATGATAGACTGGACAAAGAAAATGTGACAAGAATACATCATGGAATACTATGCAGTCATAAAAAAGAATGAGTTCATGTCCTTTGCAGGGACATGGATGAAGCTGGAAAACATCATTCTCAGTGAACCAACACAGGAACAGAAAACCAAACACCACATGTTCTCACTCATAAGTGGGAGTTGAAAAATGAGAACACATGGACACAGGGAGGGGAACATCACACACCTGAGCCTGTCGGCGGGTGGGGGGTTAGGGTAGGAATAGCATTAGGAGAAATATCTAATGTAGATGATGGGTTGATAAGTGCAGCAAACCACCATGGCACGCATATACCTATGTAACAAGCCTGCATGTTCTGCACATGTATCCTAGAACTTAAAGTATAATTTTAAAAAAATAGTAATAATACTAAAAAAGAAAAAAATACTCAAAAGAAATGAAAGCTTATGTTCACATAAACACCTATATTCAAATG